ATGGACGCATCCAAATCGCCCCAGCTGATAATAACGCTCTCACCACATGTTCCGCCTTCGTTACGCGATGAGGAGGTGTTGAAGTTCGCGCGGTGGGCGTGTGAGCGGGTTAGGGGGAGCGTTTGTGGGCGATGGAATGAGGGCGCTTGGGCTTGGGTATGGGGTGGAGGTGGAGGTGCTGGATGTACTTAGGGGGTAGGTATGATGATGTCGACAGCGTGATTAGAATGGAAATCTGTTTTATACACTGTACAGGGGTTGATTGCTACGATAAACATTTTCCACTTATTCACTCGTGTTTGATTGACGTCCCGACTTAGAGCTATTGCTCAGCCTATATATTCCTGTGTTGTATGATAACACTGGAGGCAGTTCATTGTGGCAGGTTCGCACTCGCAATGTGCTAGCCCATTCTGGACTTCATACACGCTGGAACAACAAGGTGGTAGTGCCGGAAATTTTGGCACGGATCGAGGGGCGACAGTACTCGAACACAACAATACTAGGATCTAGATTCTGAAAGAAATCACCATAATGTGGTACGCGTACAAGATATACATACATACACTAGATGACCCGTTAGAGGAAAAGAAGAACCCTACGTCACAATGCACAAAGTAGCTAACTTCGTGACTGAAACGCGAAACGTTTGACAATCTGACAAGCCATTACAACCCTGCCTAATTTTGACAAACCTCCGCCTTGCTAATTGCAAATGCACACCTCACAGTCTCTGGAACAGGCTGTTCCTCCATATAGCTACCAGTCACATTCGTCGAATTTTGCGGGTCCTGCATCAGAACCACCCGGACTGGTTTGGACTCGTTGTACGCTCCCCACACCGGAGACTTGTCCAGCTTGTAAGTATTCGGCTTGCTGCTGCGCACGAAGGAAAGCCAGTAAGCAATGATTTCGGAAGCGAATGCGCGTTCGGCTAGCGTCTGTGGTTGGAATGTGAAAGTGCCGTTGGGACTAAAATATCGTCTCTATCAACCTATGTGGCTTTTTAGGATGGTCTGCGTGTCGTACCCAGTTTTAGTGCCATTAAACATCATCCAGATCTCATCAGCATGTTCGACTGGGATGATGTTGGACTCGATGCGTGGTTTAGGCGTGTTGTACCGATAAGTCCAAGTCAAGTCATCCGAATATCGCGAGGATGGGACACCCATGGCCTGGGGCTGAGGCGTACGAATCCAACGTGGGTATTGTCAGCATGATTCAAGGGTCTACACCGTAGTGAGAGGCTGAAACTTACATTACATCTCGCAGAAAGTTCGCCTGTGATCACCTGATACTGTTGACTCGGCGAATCAAAGTCGTCCAGTGGGTATAGCCACAAGAACTGCTGGATGTCTGTGTCTGTCAACAATGGGAAATATACCTTAAGTGCCACAGAGATGTTAGGGAACATCTCGGGAATAAGACTTTCGTCGGATGTTGCACTATCCACGTTGACATCAGCGAGAGCGCGGCACCGAAACGACTAGGGTGCAAATATACCCAACTAAAAGCGGAACATGAGCGAAGTCACCGCACTGGAACTTTGACGTAGGGTGTCCAGTAATCAGCACGTCGTCCACAACAGGACCAAATGAACGGTATTCCCTGCCACCACGTCAGCTGCGGAGATCCCTCGCATGGAGCGGGCAGAACTCACAAGGACAATTCCTGGAATGCAGCATCCTGCGCTGCTGCAAGCATACTGACATTTGCCATACGGATACATGACATTTTCATTAGCGCATCAGGCAGATCGCACCCTGCTTCTCTTGCGTAGAAATCGAAGAGGGGCTGTTAATGGGCGTTAGATGGGGAACTAATCCAAGTAGTCCGGCTGTGCGCTCAACATACCTGCTGTTGCTCAGGGGTGGGAAGGGGTGATCTGACGACGCTCTGTGCAATAGCACGAGAAAAAAGCGGTGGGCTCTCCTTGACAGTCATGTGTAGTTCCACAGAGATGGCACCGGCGCTGTGCCCGGCGATGGTGACCTCGTTCGGGTTGCCACCGAATTTGCTGATGTATGACTGAACCCATCTGAGCGCCTGTCTCTGGTCCTTGAGCCCCGCATTATAGCCAAATTGGTCGGCGAACTCAGGAGGGGGTGGCAGGAAGCCGAAAGAAGCAAGACGGTAATAAACCGACACGATAATGACATTTGGGCTTTGTTCGATCCAATGATCAAATGGCCAGGTGGGCGGGTTTCCAAAAACAAAAGCTGTCACAACAAAATGAGTAAATAGGTACTGCTGTTCTTCAGAACACGACATTACCTCCGCCATGGATAAAGAACATCACAGGCACTACAATAATGAGAAATTAGAAACACAGATAAACCTAGGACAGGACATCCAAAACATACAGTTGTCGCCTTCTGTGGCGCCGAAGGGTGTGTAGATGTTAACATTTAAGCAGTCCTCTGATCCTGCTCCACCTTCTTTCCCAGCTAGGCCACGGAGTCAAAGAAAATCCAAGGACAGCAATCGCACGTACGAAGTGATCCTTGAATACAAAAGTTAGGGTGGTCGGTCGCGTTGACTACCTCCCCGTTGGCCTCTTCAGTCACACGTGTTGTATTTAGAGGGACAGTTGGACGGAAGCGCAGGTCGCCTACAGGGGGCTCGGCATACGGTATCCCAAAGTATACCACCGTGTTTGGGTATGCCTCGTCCAGCTTGCCTTGGTATGTCACATATCCCAAGTCGACCGTGGTTCCCGAGTTAACCGCGTTTGGGTACCGCTGGTTGCCTTGGTATGTCGCATATCCCAAGTCACCCGTGGGGACAAGTGGGATCTGTTCAAGTACACCACTGAAATCCTTGAATAAGGCGAGGTTCAGCAATCCGAAAATTGCGCCGAGCATTGTTGAGTATATAGGTGTCCGCCTTTGCAAGCGTAGTTTTTTAAATCAAACACCCCGGGGTAAAAGTCGAACTGATAAAGTACCACCTGCATGACACACTCTTTATAGTGTCAGTCGAACTGTAGCGAAGCGAAGTGGAAATTACAGTTCGAATTCAGATTTGGACGGCAATGAACTTCAGTTTAACCGGGGTCAGCAGACACACCTGTGCAGCCGGTGAACAAGGTACCGCCTGCATGACACACTCTTTATAGTGCCAGTCGAACTGGAGCGAAGCGAAGTGGAAATTACAGTTCGAATTCAGATTTGGACGGCAATGAACTTCAGTTTGACCGGGGTCAGCAGACACACCTGTGTAGCCGGTGAACAAGGTACTACTTCAGGGTACATACTTCCTGTTAGCCTTCGTCCGGGGGATCAGGTGTCACGGGTGGCGGCTCTGAGCAGAATAGTCGTAATCGTTTCCCCGCGATTTGTGGCGGAGACTAACCTGAGTTAAATTTCTGGAATTCTGAAAGGGATGGGCTCGAGTCGGAGTCTAAGATTCTAATCTCAACATGACATCCTTCATATGTAGCACTGAACAGGGACGACGGGCTCAACTAAATACCTAACATTATGAAACATGAACCACATTCCGTATGTGAGAGCGGTTCCCTTCTTCCAGAAGATGTTGTAACAATGTTTCAATAATATCTTCAAGGCTCATGAGGGCAAGTACGAATACCTTCGATCAGGAATCGATCTGGGATGTCAAATTCAATCATGGTGCGCAATGCCATCACCTTCCATTCCCATTCAACGGCATCCGGAAAGCAGTTTTTTTTATCGTTATGACAGACGTGGCAGTACTGACACGCAAACGGGCTTCTCGGTGCCCTCGCTGCAGAATTCGGATCCGTGCGGTTCAAGGTTGCTCTATAGGGTGAAGTACATATGCTCAGGCGAGGCATGTCAAACATTCCATTGTTTACGTGGAGAAGTAGTTGGACATGTAAGATTCCCTACCATATCTGAAACAGTTGTTGAAGCACCTCAGTGCCTGTCGGATAATGACCGTCCCCCATGATGTACACAACCTTGAAGCAATTTGTAGAGAAGCCCACGTCCCACACCATCTTTACTCATCCACTGTCAGTCAATGCGCAGATTTCCCGAACGAGTATCTCAGAGCTAATAGGAGGGCTTTCAGGTTGAGTTTCTGTGTTGTGGGAAACCGGCCTGAAAGGCCCTCATCCTCCTGCTATCCTCCCCATGTAGTTGTAGCACACAATGATGTTGTGCCTCCTTGTCCTCCTTCCAGGATGCTCGCGATGTCCTTGGGGGTGTGATGAGTGCGAGAGGGCGGAGTGGTAGGCTTGGGTTGGGCAGGCAAGAGTACTGGATGACACGGAGGCTGCAAATGGTTGTGCTGTTATGGGTGCGAGTACAAGAGGTCCTCTGGCGCTACAAGATCACAGCGTAGCCACGAACCAAGACAGAGGAATGCGCGGGTCGATAATGGAGACAAGCGGTTTTGAGTGAAATGTAGAAGGTGCCGGCCTTGCGAAAATACTTGTTCGACTGCAGTTGAGGTAGCTATGGTGGGCAGCGCATAAGCTGTTATGCCAGCGAGAGTGATGGCGCTCAACTTACCAGGTAATCAAGTGCCATCCGGTGCAGATTTGGATACGTCTTTTGGCGGTGCACCAACCACTGCAGTGGGTCTTTGGTATTCTCCACTGGTTGCCGCGGCCCGCAGGTAGTCATCGAGCTCATCTACTACTAGAGACCAAAATATAACACCGCGAAATAGCCTCGGAGATAGGGGGCTACCCGTGAACATACCCGTATGCCGTGCGGACGGGTACGGTGTGGCCACGGGTAGCAAATCTCTACACCGTACCCGTACCCGTGACCCCTATACTCGCGGTGTGTTATACCCGTGCTATACCCTAGATCGAATGAAGACAGTCGTTCCTTCTCTGGAATTCGAGAGCGGATAAGTAAGTTGAAGTACTCATCTGACAGTACTAGCGACAAATGCTATTAGTGTCAGTGCCAAAGGGCGCTGAGACTAAGAACTTACATGTGTTTTCGTCTGTCCGTTTATATATACATTTTGGGCTTCATCCACCTTGGGGAGAACAATGTAACTGTAAATGTGTTGGAGATCTCGGGATCAGGGCGCGAAGTCAACTCAATCATGAGTAGGATCTAGAAATGACTATAATCCAGTGAGTACGTCTACAATATATACACTAGATAATACAGAGATGACCAACACGACGTTAGAGGAACTCGACGAGAACTCCGATTATGTGATCAATGAGCAAGCGCGTACAAGCAGCCAACTTTCTGGCCGAAACACGCGAAACGTTTGACAATTCGACGAGAGTCACTGCGACTCTGCCTAATTCTGACAAACCTCCGCCATGCTAATTGCAAATGCACACCTGGCAGTCTGCGGAGCAGGTTGTCCCTCCATGTAGCTACCACTCACGTCCACCGAGTTTTTCAGGTCCTGCATCAGAACCATCCGGACTGGGTCGGACTCATTGTAGTTCCCCCACACTGGGGATTTGGGTAGCTTGTAAGTATTCGGATTGCCGGTGCGCACGAACGAAAGCCAATAAGCAATGAGTTCGGAAGCGAATGCTTTTTGGGCGTCCGTCTGTGGTGTAAATTCCGCAGTGCCGTTCGGACTAAAAATCCATATCTGTCAGCCTGTGTCTATTTAGTGTGGACCGTGTCTTACCCAGTGTCAGTGCCATTAAACATCATCCACATCTCAGCAGCATGATGGACGAGGGTGAATCTCGGGTTAGGCGTGTTGTACCGATAAGTCCAAGTATCCGAATATCGCGAGGATGGGATGCCCATAGCCTGACCCTGACGCGTACAAATAAAATGTGGGTGTTGTTAGCATGACTCAAGGGACTGCATAGTGGTGTGAGGCTTAGACTCACAGAGCACAACACATTAGGTTCGCCTGTGGCCACCCTGAACCGATGACACTCAGAATGAAAGTCCTCGGGTGGGTATAGCGATAAGAACGCCTCAATGTCTGTGTCTGTCAATAACGGGAAAAATGACTTGAGTCCTACAGAGATATCCAAGTTCCCGGGAGTAAGAGTCTCGTCGGATGCTGAACTATCGATGTTGACATCAGCGGGACCGCGGGACCGAAATGACTCGAGATCAACATACCCAACTATAAGCGGAACATGAGCGAATTCACCGGACTGGAACTTTGTCGTAGGGTGCTCAGTAATCAGCACGCCGTCCAAGACGGGGCGGAATAAATTATATGGCCTGCCACAACATCAACTGCGAAAATGCTTCGCGTAGAGCGGTCAGAACTCACTTTCCCTGAATGATTGCTGCAATTGGCGCTGTATCCTGCGCCTGTGCAAGTGCACTAACGTCTGCATCACGGAGGCATGTCATTTTATCTGCCACAGAACTCTCATTGCACCCTGCAAGCGATGCGTATATGTCGAAGAGGGGCTGTTAATGGGCATTAGATAGGGAGTGGATCTCGGCAGTCTGGCAGGGCGCTTAACATACCTGCTGTTGCTCAGGGGTGGGGAAGGGCAACCTGACCACGCTCTGTGCAATAGCACGAGAAAACAGCCCTTCGGTCCTGTTGGTAATCATGTGCAGTTCCGCGGAGATGGCACCGGCGCTGTGTCCGGCGATGGTGACCTTGTTTGGATCGCCACCGAATTTTCTGATGTAGGACTGGACCCATTTGAGTGCCTGGATCTGGTCCTTGAGCCCCGCATTAAAGTCGCCGTATGCGGGGTCAGTGAACTCAGGAGTGGCCAGGAAGCCGAAGGAACCAAAACGGTAATAAACAGACACGATAATCACATTCGGGCTTTGTTCGATCCAGTGATCAAATGGCCAGTTGGTCGGATTTCCCTCAACCCAACCTGTTGCAACGAGATCAATAAACGGGTACGGCCGTCCTTGAGAATATGACATTACCTCCGCCATGGATATTGAACAACACAGGCACTACATAGAACCATTGATATTAGAAAACGAAACAAGTTAGGACAGGAAATCTAAAACATACGGTTGTCACCTTCTTTGGCACCGAGGGGTGTGTAGATATTGACATTCAAGCAGTCCTCCGATCCCGCTCCTCCCACATTCCCAGCTGAGGCCACGAGGTCAGAAAAAATCCTAAGGACAGCAATCGCACATACAAAGTGATCCTTGGATGCAAAAGGCAGGGGGCTCGGTCGCGTCGACCACCTCCCCGTTGACCTCTTCAGTCACACGCTCTGTATTTAGAGGGACTGTGGCGCGAAAGCGCAGGTTGCCTACAGGGGGCTCGGCATACGGTATCCCAAAGTATACCACCGTGTTTGGGTATGTCTCATCCAGCTTGCCTCGGTATGTCACATATCCCAAGTCAACCGTGTTTGAGACCTTTGGGTACAGCTGGTTGCCTCCGTATATCTCATGTCCCAGGTCGACCGTGTGGCCAAGCAGTGTCTGTTTTAAAAAACCATTGAGATTATTGAATGAGCCAAGATTCAGCAACGTAAAAATCGCGCTGAGCATTCTTGAGTACAGGAGATCTGAGTGTCGTCCGCCCTTGTAAGTGTGGTTTTTTAAATCCCAGGGTAAAAGTCGATTGATAAAGTACAGGTTGCATCACACACTCTAATTTATAATGTTGCGCGACGCGCCAGGCGAACTGGATGGAGGCAAAGTCGAGTCAGTCGAAGACTCGAAGTTAATGTTGAACTTCCGAGTCTGGACTTGATCCGATTTGTGGCGGTTCTTCTAAAAATGGAACATGCCGGAACAACGCCGGAATTCAGTGCACTTCCATTACTTGACGTTTAACCGTACAGTAAACGAAGGGGCTTATCCTGGCAATCGTGACGCCCGTGTCGTTACACCATGCCTGCGGTGTTAGAAGTTGAATTCCACACAACTTACTTTCCTGTAGTCAAGTTGTACTGGACCGCCTATTCCTTCTGTAATGTGTAAGTTGTTCTCGAATCAGCATAATCGCCAGCAAGAACTCACCGACCCACTGATGGTGTTCCTCGAGCACAGTAGAGCCTAGTGGGGATGATCGATGAACCCCCACGGGGGTTCTGAGCATAGTCTCCAAAGTGATGGTCGATCGCGGTGGTTTCCTGGATTGGTTCGGATAATCCGAAACGATTTGTGGCACTGACTTCATCCATGAACCATAACTTAAAAGGCTGCTCGGAGCGCGGGCATATCAAATTTCCAGAAGCGGTTGACGCCTCCTGTCGCTTAGTCGCATAAGCTGGATCCGATGACACTGTCGCCAAAAACTGATCTTCATTTCTATAAGTTTTTTATGTAATGTAACTTCCTTCGGTTAGGATGAGTCAGGTGTGTAATTCCATCATCTTCCATTCCCATTCAACAGCGTGCAGAATGCAATTTTTTTTTTTGTATTGTCATGACAGGCGCGCAAATGGGCCCCGCCGTGGCGCTCGCCGCAGAATTCGGATCCGTGCGATTTAAGCCTGATGCTATAGGGGGTTCACAGGCGAGGGACGTCAAACCTTCCATCGTTTACGTGGAGAAGTAGTGCCCATGGAAGAATCAGATCTCATACCATGGATCATATCCGCAACACTAGTGCCTGCTGAACAATCACCGTCGTCCCTACGTACGCAATCTTGATTCTTGAAGCAATTTGTGGGGAAGTAGTAGATTACGTGCACAGGTTTTCCTGAAAGAGTCCCTCGAGTCTTGAGATAAAACACGGTAAGTGCTGCACATTTCTCTGCAGCAGGCTCGTCATACTCTGTTCACCGTCATTTGAGGTCGAAACACCAAGCCCTCTGTGAGGCAGGTGGCATTCATCAACAATAAATACTTCAAATACTACGATATCAGTACCAGTCCCATGATATGGGTAAGGTCGGGCATTCAGTCTGTGTCCTCCACGACTTTTGATTTACCTCGCCAGGAAGCACACTGCATAATGAACTTGACTCAGATTGAGCGTAATTGGATCCCGATGGCCCTCTCACAAAGCCAGTCCTGAGGGTCACGATATTCAGTGTCAGGTCGATGTGAAGTACAAATGATGTCATTTTCTGATAGGCTAATGCTTCTTCTTTCGTTGGTACCTTGGCGAGCACTTTCGCCCAGAGGTAAGCACCTTAAGTCAACCTTGACTCGCACTTCCGAGCCGCCACGGGTGGATACAACATCTCTTGTATAATATTACATCAATGCATAACTATGCACTCTTAGCATACCACCTATTAGCTAGGTTGCGTTATCAATGAACACGATAATTGACATTTGGCAATACGAATCGGAGTACTAACAATCAGGCATGCTTAATGTTACAAAACATATCTGAAGTCCCTGTTCTGCCTATCCGTCAAATCCATGAATCCCTAATGCAGGTGGAATATCAATCTTGCACGCGATAAGCATCTATTTGGAGAACACACCTTGTCAACCTTGACTTCTACACGCCTTCCATCCTCTGATATTCGCTCTATAATGTACTCCTCTTCGGTATCACCAAAAGGCTCTGCGTCGCGGATTTGGTTCTCTCGGGCGAGAACGGCACGGATGACAAGGAGAAGTATCGGACAGACGATGTAGCATGCGCCAATGACAGCCCACGGGATGTGGTAACTGCACATGAATCATTGTTACTTCGAACCTTCCTTTCTAGAGTCAGTCGAAGTACTTACCGCGGCTTGTATTGTGCCTTCCACATGAAGGGACCAGCTACGTTGCCAATGCAGTAAGCCGAGAGCATGATGGTGTTCGTAACAATCTACAGGTTCACTTAAGGAGCATGCTCAATAATTGACGGAGTACATACCCTCTTCGTATGGCCAGCAGTCACGTTATTCAGCCACGACAACGACAGCACAAATACTGGCACAGTGGCACCCACTGCGGAGCGATGAGCACAGAACACATTACGGGCATCACACGCACTCAGGAACTGGCTGAAAAGAAGTCCAACCTAATATCGTGTGATATGTGATATTAAAGATAACCAGGTAGACTTGCGGAAGCAAGCCACATACCTGATCCGACCAAGGAAGTAGGCTAACCAGCAGGATGCCCGACCACCCCGGGATGAAGTACATGACCGTAACATATGCTCTGCAATTGGGCCGTCGTGTAGCAAGCCGAACACCACTGAATATCGCCAAGATCACAATCATACCAGGAACACACGACAAGAGAGTCGTCTGTAGATAGGTGAATCCGAACGAAGCGAGTATGAGTGATTGCTGGTTAGTCAATGAGTTAGGCACATTGACTAGAGCCGAGAAGAGGGCGAAGAGCCATGACTTGGGGTCAGTCAGGGCTTCAATCATCCTAGAGATGCGTATGTAAGGACGAATGAAAAAATATAACTGCGTCTAATACGTACTGCTCCCTCTTGAAGTGTTTGTTTTCTACACCTGTTTGGTTGTCCTGTGCTATTTGTAAGATAAGGGCTGATATCAGTTCCTTTGACAGACGCGCCTCGATGCGCTTCACGGCTTTGGCCCGCTCATCGGGAGTGAAACCAGGCGTTCGTAGGTGAATCGGGGAACAAGAACCTCCATCACGCGGGGATGTCTTAGTCAACTT